GCATTTGAATTACGTGCGGCACTGGGCAATGACATCCCGAGTTCATGCACTGATATTTAAATTCGGGCCACCCAGCTTGATGCAAATCAATATAGTTACTTGTCATTTGTTCGAAAAAACTTTTAACTCTCACAAATACCATGGACGCGAAGAGTTAACTGGGGGTTAAATGAAAGTGAACGTCTTTCTCGGATAAAAAACGCACCAGTACAAGATTATGTGTGCAAGGTTAGATTTATAGAAGGTACATGACCGTTTAACTTGTTTTTTACCGAATCCGGTATAATGAAAATGTGACACGAGGTCAATCGCCCGACCAATCAAAAATGTCAATTTATGCACCGGTTCACTTAAATGACGTAATAAAATAATGGCGGGCACATGGTCGATGCAACCCTGTGGACCAGTGACGAAAAAGCCCTGTACACTGTGCCCTGTACTAAGCTTTCCATCACGGGAAATTCGTAATCGATGTGCTGACCGATGGATATTCATCGACTAAGTAATAATCTTGCCCAACATCTGTAGTGTCGTGGGGGAATGATTTGTTTTACGTCAAATCTTTACCGAACCTAAACTGCTTGCTAACTGAAAGACTGTGATGACGGAGATCATCTGCGATTGCGGCGACACCAAGTACTGATAACATAAAATTATATGTATATTTTTAATGTCTTCATGCAATATATTCTGAGTTATCCACTTTATTCTGGCCTGCGAATTAATAGGTTACAATTTTAAACATGTTTTTGAACGCCGCGAATTAAAAGGATACATTTAAAAATTAGCGTTCGAAAATAAAATGGGTGCGTGAACTAATAGAGACCGTGAATTAATCGAGTTTTTACGGTATATACAATTTCCTTATTGATTTTTTTTTTTTTAAATGCATTATATATTAGCACTTGCACTTACAAAACAAAAAGTCAGGGGAGACAGTGACAGACAACAGTGACACTCAATGTCCAGAACTGTCGTCTGGCACGAAAACATTTAAAAAAAAAAAAAAAAATCGAGCATTGTAGTCATGATGCTTGAAAGGTGGAAACACAACTATGCTACATAAATTATTAACTTTGGAATTGTATAAAACAATTAAAGATTTTGCAAGTGATATAACAATGTTATAAAGTGATAGAAGCAAGAAACGAACAATGATACATGCGTATTTGTTACTAATTTTATACATATCCAGGGACTAGTCAGGGCACTGTATGCTGTCTGAGTGACTAATAGGCACAAGGCTACAGTACACATATATCCTACCCTGAAAAAAAAAAACAATGATAAATTTAGTTTTAAAATGCACATACAGGCTGACACATCTACATAAAATGTGTATGTCCATTATATGTATTAAATTGCTGATAAAATGATCTATATAAGCATGTAATCAGCCCAAATAAAGTTCCCCAGGCTACAAACTGAAATGTTAGGTAATATAGTCTAATTATCACTCGTTTTTATAATGATTGCAAATCTAAAGACTTGATTGAAATGTACATGGTACCAATTACTGGTTTTTCTTTAGACCAGTCACAGTGATTTTCACAAAGATTCTGACCACAGACCAGTTTACAGTATTTAGCCATAGACCCTACAGAAGTTTCAGAGCCTTAGATTTAACATCCTCACTCTGCCTCAACAGTTACAGCAGAATATTATACTATATTGGAAATAGCTTTATCAAATAGTGAACTTTCAGTCAGCTTCACTAATGCAGCAAGGTATTACATCTCTGTGATAATAAAAAGTTGAATTCTGTTTCAAATTCATTGTGTTCATCACTACATAAAGCACCAACACGTTTTGTATGCGTATATATAGACCTGATCTAATACAGCTATATGTACATGTTTTATTATTACCGGTATAGTCATTTATGTTTTGTGCAAATACTGAGTCACCCTGCATCGTAATGAAATTGACTACATACATGTACGGTACATGATGTAATGTTAAGTTATTGATATTTTTAGTCCATATCAGACATACATGTAATGCCCTGTGTGGGCTGGGCAAGATTTAATGTATGAATAAAACTTATTTTTACTGTGATGTGTGTACATTACAATAAAACATATCCTCTTTTATCTAAAAATTGTAGTTATTTATGATATCTGATAGGCTATATAATTTTTTTAAAGACTGGGAGTGACATTTATGTCAAGGCTCAAACTGACAGTTACCTGATGTTTGCTGTTATATGACTTGAAGGTCACAGATTGTTACTCTGTGCTTGCTGGGTTACATTTGATGCCGTACCTAATGATAGGAGTGATACAGTACATGTACATCTTATATGAAGTACTCGCAGTAATCAAAGAATAGATATACCAAGTGTGGTAATAAAATTCATAGAGAAAGGAAAGCAAGAAATAATAAAACATTTTCCATATACATAATAAAATTAGATTTTTAGTTCCGCTGTCGACTGTGTCGAGCAGAGCTTATCATATGAGTGATTGTCCGTCGTCCGTGTCAATGTTTTACTTTTTAGCTCCGCTGTCGACTTTGTCGAGCAGAACTTATCATATGAGTGATTGTCCGTCGTCGTCGTCCGTGTCAATGTTTTACTTTTTCGACTTCTTCTTAAAAACTACAAGCCTGAATGCTTTGATACTTGGTGTATATGTA